ACGCCAGCTTTGGCAGCAGCTGAGAACCGGCCCTGGACTGTCGCCAGAGCCGCGCTGGATGCAAGACGTCCTGGGCCACTCAGTGGAAGTGCAGGGAATCTTCACGGGCTCCAAGCAAGTGCCCTGCTCAAACTTAGGCATCCTTCGAGCCTCGAGTTTGCGACACGTCCTCTCCGCACCTGGGAGGAATTGATGTGGAGTGGGGTGGTGCAGAGGTCCCCTCAGTGTGTCTCTGCCTGCGGCCCTTAGCCGAGATGCGAACGCTCACCGCCGCCAGCGACGCGCTGCGCTGCGCCGGGCGCCAGCGCGACCGGGCGCGAGGCCCCTGCACCGGAAGGATGGCGATGTCCGAGCTCCCAAGAACGGAGCGTGGAAAGGCGGGGTCAAAAGCGCAGAAGCGCGGGTGAGCCCTGCGGCCTTGCAGTGCTGCCAGGAGCCTGCGATGTATCCGACTGTGGAGCTTGAGCTTGAAGACCGCTTGGTGGTGTCGAAGCCAGTAGACTGGGAGGTCTACGACGGAAGCACCGAGCAGCTGGGATCGAAGCCTAGAAACCGCGAAGCAATGACGGTAATCCGACGGTGCTGTAGTCGCTGAATCGTTGCGATCCAGGCACCAGCTTTCGGACTTCCTGAAGGAGGCGTTTGCATACAATGCACCCATCCTATCAGACCCAGCCTTCGGCTGCGGCTGCTCTGACTCACATGCACATCCTGTTTTCATGATTTTTCGGTGCATGGCCCAGCCTGGCCCGGCACTTCGGCACCTGTTGTGCCCTTCGAGGATTCCTTCATCGCTTGGACGTGCCGAGTTCCGGACTCCTCTTGCTGGCGGGACACTTTCAACATCTTTAATAGGAGGTTCGTTGAGCTCAGGTTGAACAGTCATGTCTGACGGTTACTTGGGTCCTCGTACGTGGGCATTCGCAGAGATCTGCGGATGAATGGTATGCTTCTACATGGCCATACTGTAGGGAGTACTGGAGCGTGACCTAGCACCCTAGAGAACAGATTCTCAACGATCTCGAAGGCACATCTGTCCTGAAAGGAAACTGAAGCGACTCTGCCTGCACAAGAAAGTGAAGCAGGAAAGCAACCCGAGCAACGCGAGGCTTGCCAGCCATTGCAAGCCACGAGGTTAGGGGCAAGAACCGTAAACGGTGCCAGTTGCTCTGCGCAGTAAACCGCCGGGAACGCGCTGTTAAGAGAGAGTTGAAGCACGTCGCATGTGGTGTTGGAACTGCATCAGCCGTGAGACGGCTGCCTGCCAAGATTTGCGCTTCTGATTTTGCCGCTGCGTCCTGTGCGCTGAGTTGCATGGAGCATTGTGCGCAGCTATTGTTGGACTGCTTTCACGGCACCGAAATCGCAAGTCACTCGGATGCTATGCCCTGAGATGATTGCGTGGCAAGACATTTGTGTTCGTGCCTAGTGAGAGCAATAGGACCTGCCGTCAACAAAACCAGCAACACAACAGCAGGATTGACAAGCGTGGCGGTCGCAAGATTCCAACCCTTTTCTAGCATTGATGATCCGGGTGGGGTGCGGTAGTTGGCACAGCGCGGTTTTCGCAACCTCCCCAACACTTAATTCAAGCGACGTGACTTGAGCCAACAAGAGAGAGACGGAGAGCGAGAGAAAGAGAGAGAGAGAGAGAGCGAGAGAGAGCAAGAGAGAGCGAGAGAAAGAGAGAGAGCGGTGAGTGAGAAGTGTGTTTCGACAGTTTTTTTCTGCAGCCGTTCTTGTTGCATATTGACTTTAGGGAAGTCGGAAAGAGCAGTTTGCCGTGGTTCAAGGCAGACTGGGCGTGGAGCTGTGTAATTCGGAGCTTCAGGATGTAAGGGTTTCGAGTTTATATAGTGACTTGCCATCACACACGAGATCCTCCACCTTCTGCTGCAGGAGCCTGCTTGGGAGGTAAGGCTACTCCACATGCTGAACGATTGTCTTTACAAAGGGACCATCCCGCCTGCAGTACAGCAAGGTATGACCATACAACTACCAAAGACAGTGGTCGACCCTCAAGCATGGGGGGATACGAGACCGATTACCCTCAGTTCGGCCGTCCTCAAACGGTTTTCCCAACTACTCTTGAGGGGGGGGCGGCGCCATCCAGGATGACGCACCGTACCAATGGGCGGCACGGGGGAAACAGGCCCAAGAGCTACTTGTAGTTCTCAGGCGAGTGGTACGGCACGCAAAGGAATGGGGAGTTCCCACATGGGTGGTCAAATTGGACATACGCAAGGCCTTCGACAGCGTCTGGACTGGGAGGGAGGGGGGCACACCAGCGGGGCAACCGTGGGCCTGGCTCGGGCTACTCGCTAGGTGTCCAAAGAACTGCAACACAGGGGGAACAAGACAACTTTGTAATACACAGTCGACTTACCCAAATGATATCTTGTTCCGTCCGGTGTAAACCTTATCACAGTCCCTTCAAAGCCCCATAACACATGGGGGGCCCATGTGGCCGAGGGACCTGACCCGTCCCTCATGCCCCGTGGAAGAAGAGACAGAGACAGAGAGTGAGAGTGAGAGTGATAGAGACAGAGACAGAGACACAGAGATAGAAAGAGGAGGTAAAAAAGAAAGGTGGGACAACCAACACTGTCATGAAATCTGTGGAGGCGTGTAGGCACGATCCAAAGCCGGCCGAGCTTATGCACATGTGAGGCGAAGGGCTACGAGGCCTTCCTCCACCTCTCCGTGCAGCTCTCTTCCAATCGAACCTTGGCCAACTCTACTTTACCCGGCACAGGACCGTTGAATACGCCAGCCAAACAGGCATGGCGGAGGGTGAGTCACTGAGTTGCTGTTTTCTTGGGAGCTCTAAGCCGAGGGCTCCTGAGGGACTACATTGGCCTGGCGCACGGTTGGCAGCGATCGCGGGACATCCAGGCCCAGCTTTACTGGAGGTGCGGGGACACGTGCAATCCGTAGTGCTCTCGGCTACAGAATTTTATAGATGAGCAGCGTACCCTGGCTTTCTTATCTTCTATTATTATTGACACTCCCAGACCGTATCGTTATGTGAGTCGCTGATTACTTGTTCGCACCCGTAGGATCAAAACGGAAAAGTGCGTGGGGGTAGTCGCGTTTAGCTCACGGAGAATAAGAAAATGCCGAGGGTTTGTTTTCTTCTTCTTCCAGCTGGAAAAGGCCCTGAAAGGCTCTGGAGGCCCTGCCCCTGCCTGGCCGGGTGCTGCCTGGCCGTCCCTTCACATAAAGACAATAGGCAGACTAGCAACAAATACAAGTATGTTTGTCTTGATTCTGGCCCAACAATGGATGGCTTTTGGACCTGTGTAGCTGATCTCTCTATTGGTTTATCTGTCTGTCTGTCTGTCTATCTACCTATCTATCGACATCTCCCTGTCTCTCTCTCTCTCTCTCCCTTTCTTTATGCATTCATTTTGTTGATGCAAATCTGATTTACATATTCCAGTATCAGACCTTTACTCAACACTGCTTCCAAAAGAGTTGAGGGATCAGGAATGTTTGAAGAGAGAGAGAGAGAGAGAGAGAGAGAAAGAGAAAGAGAAAGAGAAAGAGAAAGAGAAAGAGAAAGAGAAAGAGAAAGAGAAAGCTGTGGTTTGGAGAAAAAAGAATCCTGATTTGTTGGTACAATGTCGTGATATAGGTCTACTTGGACGCATAGTGATTTGGCTGTCCTTGATGCGACATGGAAACCGACATGGGCGATTGAGCTTGCCAAGTGTGCACTGCACCCCTCCACCCATCCATGGCAGGACGGCGCCAACGACCCGAGCAGGCGGTCGTGGGAAGCCATCCTGGACCAAGGCGGGCACTGTGCACGATCGTCAGCTTTGCTTGGGGTGTTGGGAATGTCTTAGGGAAGTGCCAGTACGGAATGATGAGGTACTCGGTATTTTATTTACCAAGGAGTCACAAGTAAGAAGGCAGCGTGGGTTGCATCCCGACGCGAGGTCAAGTGCGTGGAGCACGGATTCGTGTTGCACATATCGGTCAGCGTTTTGGCGATTGAAATCATAACGGGTCGGCAGCATCAGATCCGCAGCCACAGTGCCCACATCGGTCATCCACTACTTAGAGATGGCACCTTGCTCGAAGAGAATAAAGACTGCACGAGTTTGCTTCATTGCTGTAGTTGCGTTGACAAGCTTTTTCACTTTCTGACTAGAACCTGAGCATACGCTCCAGGCAAGTATTCGAGCACAGCGACCTACACTTCCGACTTGGTTATTTCTCGTCACAACTGCCTGCATCGGCATCGCCTCGTGTTCTACGATGCTCGGTCGTGTTGAAGTGCCACACTGCAGAATGTTGGATGTGTAAGTTTCCTCGCGATGGATGTTGGACTTATCTTGTATCAAACGGTCTTCAGCATCGCTTCGTCTCAACTTCCGGAATTCATCATATTTTAAGCTACATGCCGTGTTAGGTTTTTCTTGAAACTGGCATGCTGCAGCAGACATGACGGTGGAGTTTTGACATCTGCGCAGTAAGGACATTGCAGGGAGACGGCACAGTGTCACTTCTCCACTGAATTCAGAGCTGGCGTCCATTCTGGAGCAGCTCGTGGGCAAGGCCAGGGCTTCCTGCATAGATCTACAGGCGCTTGCGAGAGCAACGTGCTCAGTGTGTGTCAAAGTTATTATGTGCTGGCGAACGATTGATCAAGTGAAGGCTTCGCGAGGAATCACTGAATTGGCAGCCTCCGTCCGACCGTTCTTGCCACAGCAGTGCGGCGAAAAGTTGACATGCGACAGACCGACCGACAGACCGACCGATCGATGCTGATGCACAGTGACACTGCTCAGGACAGCGCAAGACTGACTGACCCCGCAACGCCAAACCAACACTAGATTTCAATAGTGAGCCTGGGTTGATGCTCGGCTGGGGGAGAACAACGACAACCCAGTCAGAAATCGAGTCATCAGAGTAGTGTGAGCTGCCATTTGACACGAGAACTTGCGCCTGTAGTGTACAACTCGGCAGTTGCGATGTTCGGTGCAGCCGGCATGAAAGCATGGGTGCTGTGCCTCACTACGGTGCTGCTGGCTGGCGTGCGCGGGGTGCACCCGCCTCCAGACCAATGCTGCGATGGCCCAGCACGTCCTGTGCTCTGGATTAGTCGTTCCAACACCTCGGCGTTGGCCGCCGCTTGCCACCTGTCGGCAGCCATCCCCCCAAGCTGCGGTTACGGACATCCAAGACCATCGGCATAATGCAAGACTTCCGGAGTGCATAAACCTAGAATCGAATCGGCAATAGCCCGAGGCACCCAGCTCCATTACAGCAAGGAGAACTCGCTGGGATGCGCTGCTCTCACTGCCTGTACACACGACGGAGAGGAGCTCTGGATGAGCTGCCCAGATGGCTTTGAATCCGACTGCGTGCTCGGATGTACAGCGCTCCCCAAAGCTTCCAGCTGCCCAGAACCACCGCAGAGCCTGGTCGAATGGCTCAGCAGCAACTCGGGGCCGATTCAGTACATGCACGCACATTCAGTGAGCTACGATCGTTGACGTTGATAAGAAGCCTAGATTCCTAGATGATTGAATTGCATCCTGGACAACTCTGGAAGGTTTGCAAGAGAGGATTTGGGTTTCTGGGGCGAAGGGCGGCGAAGGGGTTGGAAGTGTCAGGATGAGCAGGAACGAGGGACTGCAGGTCCCGCGGGTTGCATTCCCTTGAGATGCGAGGGCATGACGGGGCTGAAGCTGTGCTGCATGCAGCGGAGCAGGCTACAGTAGGCAGAAGCTGCAACAACAGGGGACGGCAAAAAGCATGTTGACGTCAGCGGTCAGGAGAGGTGCTCGACTGAGACCTGTCAGGTAACGGTGGCTTCATCAACCCACGCCTCCGCATCGACAGCGGCCGGCTGGGGAGAGGTCTTTTCGCAACGGAAGACATAGAGATCTCGGAGGTCTTGGTGTCCCTGCCATCCGAAGTGATTATCTTGGATGGCCGATCACCGTGCCTGGCCATCAAGCGCCTCCGCAACGAGCTGCAGAAGGGTCCGTGCTCCTTCTACTGGCCGTATCTCAAAACGCTGCATGAGATCGAGATCTCACTGCCGGCAGTTTGGTCACTGGAAGATTTGGCATTGCTAGACGGGCTTCCAACACCAAAGGGTGGCTGCTTGGCGTAGATGTTGAGATTTTACAAGTTCCTAACGAGACTTGAGCTGGCGGCCTTGGAGGCTGGCAAAGCTACACTCAGCAATACTTCAAGGATTGCCTGGAGAGTGCTGCCGAGTCGCAATGATTCGTAGTGCTTCGTGACGTTAGCACTCAGGATCCGTGTTTTTGAAACTTCGAAGATGTGTGCACGCATCCAGCATGGAAAGCCTCATCAGGAGCAGCAGACAAGCCCGTCATCAATCGGCACAGATGTTCAAGCACACTGCAATATCCAAAGTGTAGTGAAGGAGCTCAGTTGTCCCAGTGAGAAGGCAAGCGGCAAAGCAGTTCCTGCCATTGCTGGTAACAGCCTTTTCTTTATCTATTCAGTCACTCCCGTATTTATCTATTGGTCTATGCCAGTCTATGCATTTTCTGTCATACTGTACATTCCGCGAAGAACTACAAGGATGGAGACGCTTTGGCTTTGCGGGCCTTGCTTCTGTACCACACCCGGGCCGGACCATTAGGTTCCGCCCTCAGCTACGATTCTGCACAGTGCCGCAGCCTGTGTGTCCCACACACTGCCAAACGCATGTCTTGGTAGTTGTGTGGGTCCAGCTGGGTGCTTTAATACTCTGTCCAGCTGCTGCCAGCGCTGTGCGTAGTCAATTGATGTCAATTGCGACCCCCGCTTTGTCTGACCACGAAGAGCCTGTTCTGTCGATTGTGCAGGCTCCAAAGAATCTGCTACAGTATGTGTGTCTGGTGGGTTGGCCCGCTCATCCCAAGTCCGGCCAGCTGATTCTCTGTCATGCATGATCTGTTTGAGTTTGCTGGACAGGCATGACCCCTGTTGCCGACATTATGAATCATGGTGTTGAGCTTACTTCGCGAGGCTGTTTCGAAAGGGCACTCGCTGTATGTGTCTCGAGAGCATCTGGAACCCAGGATACAACATGACATGGCACGGGTTTGATCAAGAAGACGTTATGAAGCCGCACGGCAGAGGTGCGCTTCAAGCCCTTCAACCCAGACCTCTGATGGCGTCTTGAGTGCATTTACAGGAACCTTCTGGATCCGTTCATCGTCTGCCATCAAAGCCGGCAGCGAGGTTCTGAATTCAATAGTGTGCCTTGGCACGAACGGTTCCACGCTAGCAGTGAAACTCCACAGCATGCGGTCTGCGCGCCACGCGAGGAATGGAGTGGCGTTTCGCCCTACTGTGGCTGCTGCTCTGCATTTTGCTGATACCAATGTTGGTGTTTGGGGTCAATGGGAGCCTTCATCTGACCAGGGGCAGATGCAAAGGGCAAGTTGCTGAAATCTCAGACGGTTTTCAGGCCGCCGGCATGCACGCCGATGACTTTGACGGAGCGGCTGAAATTTTTAGGACTTGGGTTCTTTCATGAGAGCCCGAGCTTCCTCGCAACACAGCTCTAAATGCTCACTGGACATGTCGCAGGAACTACGGCTTCATGGAAGACCCTCCAGTGATGTGGTGGTTTGACAGCGCAGCTGACGGGACACGCCATGCATGGATCCAGATGGATGCAAAGGGAGCCTCAGCTGACCCACACCTCCAGACGAGACGTTTCAGAATTCTTTGATAGCAGTCCGCTGTATTTGCCGGCATGTTGAAGTTGCGCGCTTGCGATCCAAAGAGGCACGCCGAGCTGGTTTGAGGACACCGACGACCACGGTCCTGGCCGGGAGCTAGGTGTGAACAAAAACTGCAACTGCTCAATGAAACAGAAACTGCTCAACGGAGGGCAAGTGCTAAAGAGTATGGAGAGCCTCAAGACAAAGTCGTCCAGGGGTCAAACAAGAGTGCAGCATAGTGCAGCAAGGGCTCAGACAGTCCAGGCACGAACCTCACCGGCTTGGTGGAAGATGGCTCTGCTTTACTCGAGGACCTGCAGGTGTGGTCCACAACATTACGAATGTCCTGCCTTCTTAAAACATGAGGTTCGTGAGGCCCGTCTGGGTATGATCTACGGTCCGGGAAGCGACGAGCAGCCGCTTGATTATCAAGTCAGTCACTTTTGCCCAGCCGCCCCGCGCCCCCACCTTTGCCCATTACTCAGGCCCTTCTCCTTCGACACGAAACTCCAAATCGGCAAACATCGCCGGATGGCCTTGGCCTACCGCCAGGCCCGAAAGCACGAAAGGCGAGAGCGGAATGCTCTGACTCTGCTTTCAGACCTTTCAGGCCTTCAAAAACGCTCTGAAAGCAGCTATCGAGGCACAGGGGCCGTGTGGGCGCTACACATCAGATTCCCTCGGCTCTGTCCTCCAAGCGCCAGGCTGCCAAAGTTGAGCTGAGAGCCAGCGGAGCACAAATTCCTGGCAAGCAAGAGCTTTGAATTCGCCAACACGCAGCCGCTGCTGGAAAAACATCTTTGTGTGGCCGGCTTACGCGCCGAAATGCGCTGCAACTGCATTCCTGCGCAGCGCTTGTGCTCCTCCTGTTCTTACCGTGGTGTCGCTCTCTCAAAGTTGCGCTGTTTAAAGGGCATGGCAATGTAGACACGGGAACTTTCGCTCTGCTACGGATGGTGTGCCCCCATTACACGGCCTCTTCATGCTCTTCACACTGCTTTGACAACCTTTTGATTAGAGCAGGACACGATGTACTGGCTGTGATTGCGTCGCGGACGCGCACTGTCACGCTCAAGTCGCATTTTCTACAGTCTTTCAACAAGTCATGTCCGCAAGAGGGAGACCAGTGTGCGACTGAGCAGACAGAATTCATCACGGTGCCATGAGTGGCGCTGGCTCGAGAAATTTGTCTCACGACTGCACCATGCAGGGTAGGGGACGCATCGCTGTGAAACTGAGCTGAGCCGAGGCAGAGCCTGGTGCTGAGGCTCGGAGGGACGACGGCTCAGATCACCGTCGTGGAGCGCTTTTGTGTCTGGCTGCAGGTACAATTATTTCCTGAATACTCTGGACAACTCACTCGCGAACGAGGCTCCGCCGAAGCCCGGGCCGTCTAGGCCCACCAGCATCGCTGACCCCGTTTCCGTCAGGGAGCCTCATTGGACACCCTAAAGTCGCACTACAATGACCTCGTGAGCTTTGTGCGGAATCTGAGCCAAGAGGCATGTTGGCAAGCTCGGAAGCGTATCTCAGATCAGTGCAACAACAGTGACAGCAATCTTCGTGCGGGATGCGGTCCTCTCAACCGCATCGCACTTCCATTTGCCTTGGCAACAGGAAAAAGCAGAGATCCAGCGAGAAAACCAGGACAGAGAATTCCGGTCCAGGTTGTGGGAACATCCGAAGGCCTATTACTTACTTGAACTTTCAGTTCTGCAGCTTGGAACCTTCAAAGGAAAACTCCTTGGACGAGTAGATTCGAGATGATCCGGGAATCCACAAGCAGGGCCTGATATCACGAAGATTCAGGAAGAGAAGAAGACTAACCCGCAAGAGCTCAGTCAGAGGTTGCGGAGGCTGATGGTGTAACGCTTAGGTGTCGCGGCCAACAGCTCACGACAACACATTAATGAGGCTTCTACTAGCCAGGGCCTAGGGGGGCGGAGAGTCGGTTTACTCCGGATCCCCTCCCAAGCAGCAGTCGGATGATGAGCTTCAGTGTTGCTGGGATTTTCTGCCAAGCACCTCGTGGCCGCTGATATGAGCCACTGAGGTTGTGTTTACAGCCACGGTAGCGAATAAACCGTTTTGCCGGGTTCAGCTGTTTTGCATTTGAATGTTTCAGAACCTTGGACCTAGAGAGAGAGAGAGAGAGAGAGAGAGAGAGACAGAGAGAGAGAGAGAGAGCGAGAGAGAGAGAGAGAGAGGGAGAGAGAGAGAGTTTCGCTGTTGTGCTGGTTTTGCGATTGGTGTCAGATACTGCTTTTGGGTTGATCCGTCCCAACTCTTTGCTTTGCCCTGACCACATGCACGAGTACGGGTGTTGGTATACATGGAAGACGTGCTTGGAGGCATCAAAAACAGTTTTCGCGACACCGCTGTAAGAAAATGCGAGTGACGCACAACCCGAGTGGATCCCGCACCGGAGGATTTGAACAGGAGATTGCACTTGCCAGCAATCCAACCAAGGCAGGTGCCAAGACTCGGCAATAATCCTTTTAAGTACGTTTGATTACCAAGTCGCTTTGCTGTGATACTGTAGGTTCTCGCTTGTTCGATGCTTGCTCCTAACGCACAAGATGTTGCAGTTGTTTCTACAAGCTTGCTATTTTTTGAGGGGATTGCCGTCCGGTTTCCTGAGATGCACAGCCCCAGGACTGGAGTGCGGATCGTCGCAAGGACCTCCAGGCCTCCGGAGCATCGCGTTTCGAATCCGGAAGAACATTATTTGTCCTGCATGGAGGAGCGGTGCCGATCGAAAGGCGTGCTGCCAAATGACTGAAGCAGCAACTGTTCAGAGTGTCTGCAGTTGCTTCGAACGTCATGGAAGAGGTTGTAAAGTTTCTGAGCAGTTGTTCATCACGGGAAATAGGAGGATCCTGCAGACAAATGTTAATGTCGAGCTGGAGGGGCGCATCCTTCCGAAATCGCTCCTTTGCGCGACCTTGGCTTCAGGGACGTGGCTGGCATGCAGCAGCATGAGCTTGGCCAAAAACTGACTCTTCGGCATGTCCTGCGAAGTTCAGTCCACATGGTTTGCCGGTTCGGATGCAAGTCTGGTGGATAATGCTAGAGGGCAGGAGCGCAAATACGGCCGGATTTATGTAAACTTGTCAAGCCACGACGAAGTTTAAATCGAACGGAAATGCCACCTCGCACCTGTCCCCTTTCGAGATTGCGAGGGACGCTAATTACTGCGCTGGTTTTCGTCTGCCGAAGGCCACTGAGCCACATTCACGGGTGTCAAGTTCATTTCGAGCTCGCTTGCTTTGGCCCTGGTACCACTTTCCTCCGTCTTAGTATAAGTCGTACAGTCCTGACGAAAACATCGAGGGGGTGGGTTTTGCTTATTGATTTTAAGCAGGGGGCAAGACACTCTCTCCGTCAGATACTATCGCCTCTAAACAATCGCGATTGGGAAATCTCGCCCTGCATTGGTCAACGTGTTGGGTCCACAGATGTTCACCTGCCTCATTGATGCACGCAGAATTTCTGTTGACTGGCAGCAAAGCAATGAGTTGCGCTACTGCCGGCAGCATTTGTGTGCAGTAATGCTTCGGTTCGAGCACATATTGAGCAGCAGCGTTTATGCAACTATCTGCAGTAGCCGAGTACCATTGCTCTGACTTTCAGCTTAGCAACATTCCTGCAAGCATTGATTTCAAGGCTCCCGAACTGCTGGAAGGTCAAACATGAGCACTATCTCACATCCTTGCACATTGTAGCATCGACACTTCTCAGAGACTCACAGGGCACATGCATTGACACGCATGCCAAGGTGCCGGGACTGCAAGAAGCTTTTTGCACTCTGGAAACGGTGCTGGTTCCCGTTGGAATTGTCAAGGACTGGTAGAGGTGCCAATGATGTTGGAGGATCCTCAACTGCTGAAGGCCTGCGGGACGTCTTCCGCAGAATCGCTATTCGCCATGATACTGCAACTTGTCGCCTGATGCACGAATGCATGATTTGCATAGGGATTAGCGAGGGTGCTCGTCTGTACTGTGAGCCGTCTCATTATCGAGCGAGTGCGACAGTCTCGACTCTGTATTGCTTGCCAGGCCCGTACACGGGACCAGTGGAAGCCAGGGTCCAATCCTCGGCAGCGCGCAGCATCATGGGCCGTGCGGCACGAGCTCGTGCAATCTGCACAATGCCCATGATTTCAACAGGAGTTTAAGGCTAGAGGATAGCTGCCCCAATCCACCTGGTAGCAGTTTCCACTTCGTCACCCAGACATGTTGGAAGCAGCTCGGCCGTAGACCGTACACTCCTCCTAGTGGGCTCCATTTGCACGAGGTCAGCAATTGAAGTCTGCTACTTTGACTCGAAATGGGGCGTGGGCTACATCGTCACTCAGGAGACACTCGCAGCAGCATGCTGCATGCCGCCTCAGGGGATTGCTTTTGCAGAGGTGTCATAGCTAATTGGGCTTCCATGATCTGGCTTCGCAAGGCTCGTGCAAGTGCACAGGCCGAACACGGGTCGTGATACTGTGACACTTTGTTGATTCCAAGTAAGTTTGCAAGCTTCGTAGGGCTTATCGAAGATGCTTTGCAGCAACGACTTGTCTCCCAAATTTCAATGCCCCAGCCGCCGTCCGGGTTGGCTCGAACTGTGGCAGTTCACCAAGCTGCTGAGATTTTGTCCAGGCCGCCGGCAGACAGGACACGGTCGTGCTAAACTCCAGAAGCGAGCGGCATTTATGCTTTCGATAGCCCTTTCGAGACCGAACAGCAGCGTGGTCCGGCATGCCGGCCCCGATAAAGACGCTGTTCACAGGCTTCCCGTCTCCACTTCAATGGAGCTGCGCACGGGGCGTCCTCCGGGGGCTCAGGTACGGACCCTTTGATCTCTCCTGCGTGCAGTCCTACATGCCTGTACGATGATTTGCCCGTTGCTGCCATGTATAGCAGTGTAGCCAGCACTGCGTATGCAGGTTCGATGAACTGTTGCTTTCATCGAGAGTTATTCTGTTAATGCCAGCTTGAAGGCAAGCTTAGAAGCAGGTTCTACTGCCACGGAGGGAGCCACCACCGACGAAGCTGCCAGGGTGGACCGCAGGCATGGCTCGATGTTGGTCCTTGCTGACAGATTCTCCAGGAGAAGCCACTCACGTGACGTCGACTGAAACGGAAAAGGATCTTCTGCCAGGTGGCAGCAGCAGTTCGAGCGGAAGCAAGCTGCGAAGCAGATTTCATCAAGGCACATTTGTAAGCAAACATTGCCTAAGACATGAGCATGTGTAGGCACCGACTTTGCTTTTCGATTCTCCGCTTTCAGCTGACACTAGGTGTAACTGCGCCGGCTGTGCTTTGCACTCTCCGATTCTGCCGTCGGTCTTGCCGGCAACGGTGGGGAGGCATGGTCAGAGGCTAGCGACATAGCCTGCAGGGTCGACAACGGCATGACAATGTCAACTGTAATGCTATCACTGTTGCAGATTTGTGTTAGAGTTTCTGTTGAGCGGAGTAAGATGTCAGCATCTGTAGCAGCCGGTCTTTCGAGACTCCAACGCTTTGGTGCCACTCGTCCAGTTCGAGGAAATCGAGTTATGTCATAATACCAGGAATGAGCACGCAGACGCAAGGTGCAATCCCATGGATCCTGTGCAGGTCGCACAGTGGCCTACAACTTTCCTCCCGGCTTGGAGGTTGGGGCACCATAGAGAAGACGAGTTTGAATTCTGGATTCTGTGAAGAGTCAGCAAGCTGAGTTGGTGACAGTATTGCAGGGGGCAACACTTTCCACTACAAACTCATGATGTCACCCTGGTGCCCTGCATCCCACAGCCATTCGCTTGTTTTCTGGATGCTTTGCCACGCCCCGCCCGTGCAACAGCTCGATACCTCCATCGACATTCCTGACCGGCCGGAGAAGCGGATGGTGAAGGAGCTCAGCCGCTATGAGGACCTTCCCTGCGGACAATGGACAGTGCATGATGTACTTTCATGCCGACATTCCTGTGATTTCTTTTCAACCAGGACCCAGATGACCCCGTTCGACCGCAAGCTCCACCGAGAGATCGCAAGGCAAATGCTGGGGAAGGGAAAGGACCGCAGGTGGACCGGAAACGGCTTGCGTGCGTTAGAACATGCCGTCAGCACTCATGACATGATGCTCTTTTCGAAAAATTACAGTTAGTGTGGATCCAAGAGTCCCAGAGATTCTCGAACAAGAGCTTGACAACGACCGCCTTTAGGGTGCAACATGCCAACCAGCTTCTATCGGGTGTTCACCTTCGCTTCTCATCGTCTCACTTGCTGTTTACCGAAGCAGCAGACAATTGCAGACATTCTGTTTGGCAGCACTGCTGCAGTCTGCTGCAGGGCCTCTGGGCACCTCCAGGACCTCAGGCGATTGCGGCGCCGGAGGTGCAAAAAGCAGTCAGCACAGCGCGAAGTCTGCCGGTGTCTTGTTTCGGCAGGTCCTCGTGGTAGGCCTAGGCAGGCGGCTCCGTGCTGACGAGGCAAAGCTTGATTCAGGCTGCATAGAATGCAACGAATCCGGCTTTTCGGCGTTCACACTTCTCACGACATGCACAGGGCTGCCGTAGGGTGGAAGTGCAAGGGTTGTGGGGGTTCGCTTAAGCTTCAGCAGTGTTTGAGCGGCCTTCCACGCCGATGGCAGCTAGGTTGCAGATGAGGTCTTCAGTCAACGTTCATTTTCGCTAGAGCGATGTAATTGCCCACGAAAAAAAAATCGATGGAACGGACCAGGAGGATGGTCCTCGGGCTCGCTTGGGTGCGGGAGCCGTAGAGGCGGGTCACAACCTCCAGAGGTCACAGCACCCTTGCATTTTCCTTGTGACTTGAGCAGGCCCTGCAGCGGCGTTACCAGGTTCGGACGCACTTCGATGCCGATGTGCAGGGGTCCGCCAAGGGGGCTGAAGCTTATTCAACCTGCCATCAGGCTCTGTTCAATGATCGATGCATGCCCAATGATTACTTGCAATATCTTGCAATTCGGTTGCTACCTGTTTGTTCCTTGTCTGCGCCTCGATGAAGAGCTCATAAGGTTATCAGGCATTTCCGAAAGTCGCTTTAGGCGGAGCGAAACCGAGAGGAGGAGAGCATCGAAAGAGGGAAGCTACTTACGGCACCTATGGTGCGGACCGAAAGAAGTGATTGTGACTGTTGCAAGAAAACAGGTACATGGCCACTTGCCGTGCCAGTCTGGACAAGTCGGGTCGCGCGGGGGTGCAGAAGATTCACTTAATGCAGCCATTGGTTGCGCATGACACCGATGTGGGAAGCTCAGAGACTCGCTTGTCGGGCATCAGGTCGCCAGTTGGAATGCACAAGCTTCCGCTCTCTGCTGGGCTTAAGCTTGAACGACCATGATCATGCAAAATGCACCCAGCCACCGATTTAAACACAATCAGCCATAGACTCAGGCTACCCGACTGACACTGCTTGCACGTGTTTGCGGCATGCGCATGGGCTTCTGCTGTCGGCGCAGCACTGGGGCTAGGCTCTGTCGAACAGCGTAGTGGTCGGTGTGCCAGGCTGTTGCATGAAAAAAGGCACTTCCGTGTTCAGGAGTGGAATCACCGTGTTGGGTCATGCATGAAAGCTTTGGTTTCAGCAGGCGGCTGCAGGCGTTTGCACAGAGTCGGCACGAGCGGCTTCATGCCGCTCTGCAGGACGAGGCCAGCAAGTCAAAGAACGGACTGTGGCTGTGGCAATGTGAGGGCAGGTAGGTTCCCGACTATTTCATCTCCATATTCATGCCAACCTACATTAGGCACTCAATAAACATGAACAGGAGAGATTCTTGCTGGATTCTTGGCCCACGTGTAGATGCCCGCAGCAAGTTGTGAAGGCCAACGTTTTGTTCAAGGAGACCAGTGTGGAAAGGCTCAGCGAGCCTGGCACGGCGGAAGATGTGCATCCTCAGTGCCTGAAGGACCGGCAATAGCCAAGCGTATTCTGCCAAGATCTACGTGAACAAAGCACATGTGCGGTGCAGCAGAGTGTCAGGAACCACCCGTGAAATAGCTTGGACGCTCGAAGCTGTCGTGGCAATGGAGGGTGAAACATGGGCAAGGCTTCTCCGTAGTTTCTGAAGGTTTTGGATACCAACACCTTGCAACCTTAGACTTGCGCTTAGAGTCAGCCCCACGGAATTCGCTTCGTTTCGGGGACATGAGGCTTGCTTGCTTGGTGCGGCTTTGCATGTGTGGCCAGGACTTCGATCGATGCACTTACCAGGTTCTGGTGGCTTTTTGTTCCGTCCGCTTTTAGATGCTGTGCCCTTGATCCCAAGCTGCGTCGCATCAAATCATGCACTCATGAGTTGTTTGACAGAACAGACAGCCAATCTGGAAATCGCCGCCCCTGAGATTGGTAGCTGCAACTACCAGCCTGGGCAAGCCGCAGACTCTGGCGACATCGCCAACGTTCGGGGCACAGAAACAGCATATTTCAAGGCTTAAAGCTTGAGCAACAGAGGGTGAAGCTGCGTTGCAAATGTTGTTTGAGGCTCGGCAAAGCTTCGCCGAGCGGATCAGAAGCGGACTCAGTTCCGGGAACTACGATCCTACTCGTAGCACGATTCATAAGTCACGCTTTGGTGAAAGCGGATCCCAAGGCGAGGAGTGCTCCTGCAGCGCTGCGGGAGTTCGTGCCTTGCCTACTGGGTCAGCAAGGCATCTAAGTCCAGGCGCATCGGCTCATGAGCCACCGAAAAGCTCGTTCTAGTACCCACAATGTCCAGGACGTCGGAAGAGTTCAACACCACTACCTCTTTGAACCTCGCAAACCTCGGAGCAACTCGAGTGCCCCCGAGCTCTCCGAAACAGCGAAGCAGATACCCTGCAATGGATAAACATAAATGGATCATATGTTTTCAATCCCCTCGAGCACCAGAATCCCCAGTGCCCGAGCCCCAAACAGGTTACTCACCCCCCCTCCAACGCCCCATGCAGGTGCAACTCGCATAAACTCACAGGCAAACGGGCCAAACACCAGAGCTTTGCACATGCCGCGGCAGAGATGGAGAACTGCCGCATGATATCCCAGACGTTCAGGTGTCATTTCGGCTTTGTGTTCGCAAATTTCTATGGCACACCTGGCGACTGCTACAGAGCTGCATTCGGCACGATGTCGCAGTGCTAGCCAAAAATGGCCATAGTGTGTCCCGGCGAGTCGGAGACTGAAGTGACTGAAGGTCAGTTTCTCTGGGCCGCATGCCTATGCGCTGCCCGGCCCCTTGACACTGCATAGGGCCACCGGGCTCAGGATTCTGCGCGAAGGGCCTGAAAACCGGGTCCTATTTCAAGGTTGAGACAATGTTGTGAAGCTCACCTCATGCGTCCCTTTCCTGAGCCCTTGCCGACGTTCACATGCACTGCCTGATACACAGATCATACGAAACATTTGACTGGCAGGAGTCGCGCTTGCCGGAGATAGACAACAGATGAATCCATGACATGTCGCAAGAAACCTACGTAATGAGGTTCTGACTCTTTGAGACTTACTGTCGCAAATGCCCACAGCACTTTTTGCTCAGAATCTTCACACATTCCCGGCTTGCATGTCTGCCTGGACGGGAGTGGGGTCACCCCGCTAGCCCTGGATTGAATTTCTGTTCCGGGGGGGAGGTTTCGGAGCAAAGACTCAGGAAGAAGACTTAACTCCCGACCTGATCATACCTGATCGTTGGCAGAGCGGTGTGCTTCGTGGTACTTGTAGTTTTCCAGCTGACATTAGCTTCGTCGCGGAGTTGGAGGTGGCTTCACAAAAGCGCGGATCCACTTACGCCGCAAGTCTGAGGCCAGTTATCGAGCTGTGAAAAGAAAGTGGTCTTTTGCGCAGTATCAGGTGGTCACTAGCCGCATTTCATCCAGCGGAAATCTTTGAATTGAGAAAGAATCGCTCTGGCCCGGTACAGTAGCTGCTAGAGGCTGTGAGCTCACAAAATTGGAGGAGTCCTCGGATCTCATCCTCGGCATCGAGCGTGCGGCAAGAGGCTTCGAGTCCTTCTCGCTGCCGGAGGATGGCCAGGCAGATCCAGAAGGGGGGTGCGTGCGCGGACTACGACTGTAATCAACATGCAGTCGTGTTCACGCAGGAAGCGAGGCTTAAAAACTAACTCTGCAGTCAGGTGCACGACTGCCACAAGACGTCCTCCATACACGAATCTGCCGAAGTCCAGTTTCGGTGTTCTTCCGAAGGCGCGGCTAGTTTGTGGTTCTGTGTCGTGCTGCAGCCTTTGCTTGCATACCGAACATGGCTCCACCGTGAAGTGCACTGCTTGTACAATGAGAACCCAGAACCCAATTGAAGTTTGCAAGGCACTGCCTGACTTCGGACATGGTAATGTTGACAGGAGTCTTCGTCGACGTGCTGGATGTTCGCGAGGCAGTTCTTGACTAGAGAATATATCAACTCTTGCATTTCATGGAAGCACGAGATTGGTGAAGCCCCCAAGCTCATCCCAATCTCCATGGCCTGGAAGAGGCCATCACGCTTTGCTTCCCAGACGAACGTGTTGTCGTCCATGACGGGCTCCCGCAGCTTGGACCCGGATGTTTCAGCTGGATGTCTGTCTTTGCGGGTGGGGACCCAAATTTGGATCCGAGCCCTCGACTGCGCCCACTTCACAAAGTAGAGCGAAGTGCCAGCAGGCCCGGATTTCCTGAGCTCAGCTCCAACACGAGGAGCTGCAGCAAATGGTAGATGCAGAGTTTGATTGCTGGATACAAGTTTGCCATGACAGCTGAAATCTCCTCAGGTTGCACTTCCGCTCGCCGCCGGCGGGAGAGAGCTTCCTTCGCTTGCTGGGTCTCTTGGCTGGCACTGCAAGGGGCGCCTCGTCTGGGCAAGACAGCACTCTCTGAGTCTCTGAGGAGGGTGCCTCGTGCGCTGGGCAAACACGCTCGGCTTCCTCCGCATGCTGCAGCCAAAGCGAAAGCGGGCTTGAGGAGAAAAGACCGTGATCCGGGGTGTGCATCCGTTTCTGTGCAGCCGCAGTGTCGCGCTGATCGCGCTGTAGGTGCTTGGACATTTCTGATCGCTGATGCGGCTTTGCTCAGGTCGCACATGCTCTGGAAAAGATCACCAGCAGGCCACGTATGGATCAGGCTCTCTGCTTACTGGATGGAAAGAGCAAGGCAGTCTGGAGATGTTGCTAGTGTGGGGTGAGTCGTCTGTTGTTCTTATTCGACCGGATCATCTTCATTGCAAACCGTTGAGTTTCTGAGAGCCTACTTCTGAGCTGTCTTCGCCGACCAGTCTGGCAAAGTAGCTTCTTTGGCGATCATCCCACCTCGTACACATTAGCTAGAGGGGGCCAGAAGCCGTGTGAGCAACAGAATGTGGAGGCTTCTGTAGTCTGTCGTTGTTTACCGTCTACAGCTATGTGGAATTCAAAGTGCAGCATGCAGACCGTCTCAACAAAAGGCTCCCACATCCTCCCATGGCCTGCATGCTCCAGTGTCCTGGTTTGGTGGGGCACGGATGGCCGTGGAGCACACCGTGGGGACAGAGGGCACTTCCATCCCGTGCTCCTATATCTCCTATCTCATTTTATGGCGACTTTGCTTCGCCTCGGGCGAAGCCTCGTGCTTGTCTTGGAGCCCTCGTTGCAGCCTCCGCGGTCTCAGCCTGGGCCGCGGCACGGCGGCGATCGCGGCACAGGGCTCGACTCACTCTGCCCCGCTGGGTCGCCGGCGGATTCCTCGTGGAAGGAGACTCCGAGGCAACTACGCAGCTTCCCAGTGCCGTCAGCATCGGGAAGCTGTTGACTTGGGCTCGCAAGCAAGAGTTCATGAAGGTACACCCCGTGCTCTCTGCCAGAGCTTCTCAGCTCTCGGTTTCGGTACCAGTTGAGGCCGGCACTCCCCTCCTCGGAGTTTTGGAGGATGGCTTTCTCACTTTTGAGCCTGAGCCTAGCGGGCCTAGCGACAGTGGCGAAGGGCCCTGGCAACATTTCTATCAAGTCGCGAGGAAGCAGCATCCTGACTGGTGGGCGCTGCACCTTGCCATTCCTTTGCTGAGACAAAGTTTCTCTGCATCCTCCACGTCTCCAATCTGGCAGGCCCACCAGCAGAGTGCCTGAGATGCAGGAAGGTGTTGGCACTTGTCATGCCGCTTGCCTCGGCAATGCTTCTGTTGTTGCGCGTGTCACAATGACCATGCAGTGGTGGTGGTGGTAGTAGTAGTAGTAGTAGGCACAGGAAGTGCGGTCGTCTCAATTCGCACCCCATGCATACGGAGGCCGACTAGTACTGTCGGCTTCTTCCATAACGCCATAACGACGACGACTACCAGGACGAGGACGACGACGACTGCCACTGCTACGACTTAGTCTTTTAGGGCCTCCTCATCTGCTTCTACTTCTTACTACCGCTACCACTACGACCTTGACGACGACGACTTGTGCCGCTGCTCTGCTACGCAGCCGGCTGCTGCTGCTACTGCTACTGCTACTGCTGCTACTACTCCTCCTCCTGCTGCTGCTCCTGCTACTGCTACCGCCACTGCCACTACCACTACCAGAAGCAACTACCACTACTAATTACTACCCACTACTATATACGGTACTACTACGAGCTCAAAGACTACGACTACTGGGATGCCTGCGATTGCGAGTGCTGCAGCAGTAGTCGTCGTAGTGGTGGTAGCGCTACTCTGGCATGATGAGACAGTAGATCGAAAACGTCAGCAAGTTTGTGGTGCAGGAGGGTGTCGAAACAAAAAGCTGCAGGCAGCACTCGTTGAAACTCGCAACTTGCAGAGTGCGGCCTTGGCGTAGCAGCGGGCACGCGACCGTCGTGCATTGTATAGTATTGCGTTATTTGCGCAGCACTTCCAGGCATTCCGCTGCGGCCTGCAGCGCCACATCTGTGGAGCTTGGGGCAGGCTAATGAGCTGCGACTTGGATGATCCTGAGGCGCTAAGGAGTGGAACAGTCTGGCAGTGTTTGTCTGTAAGGCAATACGTGGAAATCAAGGCGGCGTTGAAGACTCGGATCGAGGCCCGTTCCGCGCTCTCGCACAGCTTGTGCAGCAAGGCGTTTGCCCGCGTCGCATGCTGTGGAATATCCGTGCACCATCTGCGCAGGCATTGCAAGCTTTCCATCGAGACCACATCTCCCCTCAGGCGAGTCCTCGGATGACATGAACATACGTATTCGTGGTGTTCTTTGTTTCCCTCCCAGCTTCCAGGAGCCGTAATATGCAGATTCCAGAAATCAGCGCCAATCTAAGGGCTTTAGGAGGGACCCCAATAGGGACCCTTAATCCCATT